AGCAACTGTATATTGTATTGTCTGTTTACTACCCCAAGTCAAGTTTCTTCCCATCACCATTTATCCCTCATTTACCCTATTCTGTCTCTTCATCTCCCCTTCCCTTTAGCAATTACCATACTGTTGTCTGTGTTCGTGAGTCTTTTTTTTCTTTGCTTAATCGTGTCACCCTTCTCACCAGCCTCCATCTCCCTCCCCTTGACAGTTGTCAGTCTGTTCTCTGTATCCATGGATCTGTCTCCACTTTGTTAATTTATTTTGTTCATTAGATTCCACATAAAAGTGAAATCATCTGGTACTTGTGTTTCTCTTACTGGCTTATTTCACTTAGCTTAAGAGTCTCCAGGTCCATCCATGCAGTCACAAGGGTAAGATTTCCTTCTTTTTTACTGCTGAATAGTATTTCACTGTGTAAGTTTACCATAGCTTTTTCATCCGCTCATCTACTGATGGGCACGTTGGCTGCTTCCAAATCCTCGCTAATGTAAATAGTGCTGCAATAAATATATTCTTTCAAATTAGTGTTTTGTGTTTCTCCAGATATATTCCCAGAAGTGGAATTGCAGGGTCATAAGGCAGTTCCATTTTTAATTTTTTGAGGTAACTCCATACTGCTTTCCACATTGACTGCACCAGTCTGCATTCCCACCAGCAGGGCACTAGGGTTCCCTTTTCCCCATTTTTCATCAGCACCTGTTGTTTGTTGATTTATTGATGATAGCCATTCTGACAGGTGTAAGGTGATAGCTCATTTTGGTTTTAACTTTCATTTCTCTGACGATTAGTGACATTGACCATCCTTTCCTATGTCTATTGGTCATCTGTCTGTCCTCTTTGGAGAAGTCACTTAGGTCCTTTGCCCATTTCTTAAGTGAATTGCTTGGCTTTTTAGTGTTGATTTTTTGAATTTCCTTATAAATTTTTGATATTAACCCCTTATCAGATGTATCATAGGTGAATATGTTCTCTCATTCAGCGGGTTGTCTTTTTTTTTCATTTTGTTGGTGGTTTCCTTTGCTGTGCAAAAACTTTTCAGTTTGATGTAGTTCCATTTGTTCATTTTTTCTTTTGTTTCCCTTGCTCAATGTGATATATCAGAAAGAATTTTTCTATGAGAAATGTCCAAGATTTCACTGCCTATGTTTTCTTCTAGAATTTTTATGGTTTTGAGTCTAACATTTAAGTCTTTAATTCATTTTTAGTTTATTCTTGTGTATGGTGTAAGAAGGTGGTCTACTTTCTTTTTCTTTTTCTATTTTTGCATGTATCTGTCCAATTTTCTCAACACCATTTGTTGAATAGACTATTTTTACCCCATTGTATTATTTTGCCTCCTTTGTCAAATACTAATTGACTATAAAGGCATGGGTTTATTTTTGGTCTCTCTATTCTGTTCCATTGATCTATCTGTCTGTTTTTATGCCAGCATGATGCTGTTTTAATTACTATGGCCTTGTAGTATAGTTTGCTATCAGGAAGTGCGATTTTTCCAACTTTGTTCTTATTTGTTAGGGTTGCTCAGGGTTGTTTCTAGTTCCATATAAATTTTTGGAATATTTGTTCTAGTTCTGTGTAAACACCATTGGTATTTTTATAGGAATTGCATTGAATCTATAGATTGTTTTGGGTAGTATGGACATCTTAATGATGTTGATTCTTCCTGTTCATAAACACAGTATATTCTCTCATTTGTATCTTCTTCCACTTTTTTCTTCACTGGCTTATAATTTTCTGAGTACAGGCCTTTTACATCCTTGGTTAAATTTACTCCTAAGTATTTTTTGAAGCAATTGTAAACAGAATTGTTTTCTTAGTTTCCCTTCCTGATAGTTCATTATTGATGTATAAAAGTGATTTCTGGATATTTATTTTGTATCCTGCTACTTTACTGAATTCATGTATCAGTTCTAGTAGTTTTTTGGTGGAATCTTTAGGGTTCTCTATATACAGTGTCATGTCATATACAAATAATGATAGTTTTACTTCTTCCTTTCCAATCTGAATGCCTTTTATATCTTCTTGTCTGATTGCTGTGGGTAGGACTTCCAGTACTATGTTGAATAAAAGTGGCAAAAACAAACATCCCTGCCTTATTCTTGATCTTAAGGGAAACACTTTTAGTTTTTGCCCTTGGGTCATGTCTCTAGGCATCAGGATTGTTTGGTTAATCTGGTTAATTGTCTAAATGTTGCAAAGTGCACAGACTTACAGACTGGTATATTCACATAATGCAAATGTCTCAGAAATACCCAAATAATCTCATACACATTGAATATCATAGGGACAAACACTGGGTATTATTCAGGGATAGACATACTCAAAGCAAGCATGCAGAGACACAGAAGAATTTCCCCAATACTATAGGCCCAGATCCAAAAAGAACCCAATGTCTAAGAGACCTTGGGGTGGGGAGGGAGCCAAGAAAATAAATACAAAGAAAAAAAGACCAAAAGTGGTGGACAAGAAGGTCAAGAGAAGCAGAGAAATTCAGAGAAATTAGACAAATAGGAAGGAGGCAAACAAGTGCAGACAGTCTCTAAGAGCCAGAGACTGGGAAAGAAAGGGAAAGAAAGTGTGTGCACATGGAGCAGACTGAAAGTGACCAGAGGGGATGGGGAAGGAGGACAATTGTGGAAAGAAGGGGAAGGGACTAGACAAAGAACATGTATGAATGACCCATGGACATGGACAATAGAGTGGGAATTGACTGTGGGAGCAGTGGGTGGGGTGAGGGGTGGGATGGGTGGATGGCAAAGGGGGGGAAATTGAGACAATTGTAATAGAATAAACATGATTTTAAATTTAAAAAAAGTCAAAGTAATAAAAAAAGAAAGTCTGAATTAGTTTTGTATTTACCGCTATCACAAATGATCACAAACTTATGTTTGAAATGTGTGAGACAACACATTTATTTTCTTAAGAGTTCTGGAGGTCAGAAGTTCAAAATAGTTCTTATAGTCTAAGACCAAGGTGTCAGCAGGGCCTGGGTTCTTTTGGAGCCTCCAGGAGAGAATCCATTCTCTTGTTCTTTGCAGTGTCTGAAGGCCACCCACTTCCTTTGTTTTCTCCTCCTTCCTCAGTCATCAAAGCCAGCAATGTTGGCCACATACTTCTCATACTTCCACCTTTCTGGTTGTTCTCTTCTGTTTTTGTCCTCCACTTTGAAGGACCCTTGAGATAATATTAGACCCATTTGGGTAATTTGGAATAATCTCCCTACTTTAAACTCCACTGATTAGCAACTTTAATTCCATCTGCAAACTTAATTCTGCTTTGCCATGTAAGGTTACATATTTACATGTTCCAGGAATTAGGATGTGAACATCTTTGGGGAATCATTATCCCACCATCAAACCATAGAAGCCTATCTTTTACATAATATATTTGATCATTTCTGTAGTCTTTTACTTCGGTATCTGTGTGTTTTATGGGTATTGAGCTGGGAGATTTATTTCAAGATGAGTATACATGTGTTTATTTGTGTTAGTTTGTTTATCATGGTGTCATATTTGAATGTCTCCCTGATAAGTATGCAGGGGCAGGATACCTGGAGGGGATGTCTAATATAGTGTTCTGGCTCCATAAAGACACACTGCTGTTGTATTGTTGTTCTTATTGACAATAAAACTAATGACAGAGGGTCTCTGCCTGTTTTCTTTGAGTATGGCTATCTGACCCTAAATAATACTTGGTGTTTGTCCCTATGATATTTGTTCGGTGTGTATGACATTCTTTGAGCATCTCTGTGATGTTTGCATTGTGTAAATGTACCTGTCTGTAAGTCTGTGCACTTTTGGGCATTTAGACATTGATGGATGCACATGCATGTTTGAACAAGAGTGTGTACAATCATAGTAGTAGATATCTGAATGTTAGTTATTCACAAACCCCCAAGGGTATCCAGACAGGAAGGCTTAGCTAGAGATAGATGGAGAAGCTAGAAAGACAAGGAAGCAGAGAGGAAACTAGGAGAAATGGGTAGAGGAGGGGAAGGAAGGAAGAGACAGAGAGATAGAGGTGAGGAAAGGGCACAAGGAAAGATCAGAGGGAAAAAGTCAGAAAGCAGAAAGGAGTTCTAGGGATCTAAAATAAATTTAAAAAAAAAAAAAAAAAAAGCCTGGTGGAGTCACAGAAAGGACACAGATTAGATGTGGGTATGGCTCCACTTCTGGTCACTCCTTTGCAGAGTGACCCTAGCAATGCCAACTCTCTGGGCCTCAGTTTACCAAGAAATTTGAAATAGATAACCCTTGGATACAACTCAAAGAAGGAGAGAGAGAAAAGTAGAAATAAAATCATACACAGGGAAAAAATAGAAAGAAAGACACAGGAGGAAAATAAGGGGAGAGGCCCTGGAAGCCAGCTAGAAGTAGAGCTGAGAGAGCCCTACCCTGACTCCTTGAGGCAAGAGTGTGAGCATCTGCTACCCACCCTTTACCCCAAAGCTTCAGAGTGTCCTTAAGTCCTTAAAAGGTAAGGTAAAAAGGTGGAAAGAGAGAAGCACCTGAAATGACATCCACACACCAACACTCAGAGGCCTGCCAAAGCCACACACAACAGGATCCGTGCTTCTGACACCAGCCCCCAGATGTAGGTGTGCCAGCCACCTGGAATGACTCACACCCTGGCGATGTGGGCACACATGCCAAAAAAACGAGCCTGAGCACCCTGCCCACCTACACACCACAGGCCAAGGGGGAGGTGAGATTCAGGCTCTTTGGGGGATGACAGGGGGCTACCCTCCCCACACCCAGATACCTCGCCCACAGAGCCTCCCCCTAGTGACCACCTTCCTGGTGGGAGGATCCGGTGTCTGTTCCTCCCGCCCTCCTCCCCCAAACCTTACTCGGGACGCGGGAGAACCAGATGAGGTGTTACGCAACGCCTGATGTTTACCTCCTGCAGGGGCCTCCTCCCTCCCTATAAAGCCTGACGTTGTGTGGAGATTGGAGACTGGGACTGGATGAAGAAAGAGGCAATCCCAGCAGAGGGGCAGAGAAGAGTCAGAAAGTTAATACGGGAGGAGAGAAGGACATCAACTCTGCAAGCAGTAGGGGTGGCTCGCCATCTGCGTGCTCTAAGGCGGTCCAGGGGGTCGCGGAAGGGACAGCGCCCGGACACTGGCTTCCCATGGAGGCGCCCGTGCTGGGCCCTGGGCTGGTGGAGCGTCTGGAGCAGCTGGCTACGTGCCCGCTGTGCCGGGGCCCTTTCGAGGACCCAGTGCTCCTGGCGTGTGAGCACAGCTTCTGCCGCGCGTGCCTTGTCCGCCGCTGGGGAACTCCGACTGTGACAGGCACCGAGGAGTCCCCCACCGCATGTCCCTGTTGCGGCCTACTGTGCCCTCGCCGGAGCCTGAGGTCCAATGTGCGGCTGGCGGTGGAGGTGCGCATCAGCCGTGGACTGCGGGAGAAGCTGGCCGAGCCCGGGGGCCGCGCTGGGAGACGCCGAGGGGGCCGCATCCCCACCATGGGAAGCCTGGAACCGCTCGAAGAGGTGAGGCCCAGTGCGCTTCACGGGTTGCCGCTGTCGGGGGAAGGAGGAGCTTCGTGGGTTCCCTAGGGGAGTAGGGAATGGTACCTCCTGAGCTGGGACCTTTATGGAAGTTGAGGCGAACAATGAAGTTGAGAAGAGAAAAGTGAAGGACGAGAGGACGGGAGCTGACAGCACGTCCTCTAAATGATGTGAGAGATGGATGGAAAAACGGAGGAAGAAGTTGACAGTTTGCCTTTGGGGAGGAGAGGGTGGGCGGGGAAAGGGGGACCGCTGGGCGCATGCCTGAGTCCTGCGGGAGAGCTGGGAGCAGAGAAGGCGCTCGGGCACGGGCACTGGACAGAATGCTAGGTCCTCCTGGAGCCCCTGCGAAATGCGCGGACCCCAGGGAGGAGAGGAACCAGCGGAGAGTGAAGCTGACTCGGGCTAAGCGAGCAGGGCACAGGGGAGAAGGGTGGGGAGATCAGAACATAGGGGTGGGGGAGCTCGAAGGAGGCCGGAGAAAAGGCTGCAGTGGAGGACCAGGGAAGAAGGGCGCCAGGTAAAGCAGGAAGGGAGAGGGTAGCAGATCCAAAAGCCCCTGCAGCATCGTGGGCTTGGGCCCTGGCCAAACTCAGTTTTGTTTGTTTTTGTTGTCCTTGGCTCTTCCCAGAGACCCAAGCAGGGGCAGTTAAGGGTGGAGGTCAAGTCTGAAGAACTGCCTTTGGGGCCTCTGGCTCCTCTACTTCCCAGCCTTATCATCCACCCACCAGCTACGCCCCTCTTGAGCCCCAACTCCTTGGCCATCAACCAGCCCTATTCCCTTGCCCTACCTCCAGGTGTTGAGGATTCCCAATTGACGTTTCTCTCTCTCCCCACCCCCCAGCCCCTCCTCACCCCCCCTTTCTAAAATCAGTAAACATATCCTCAGGTGAGGACTAAAATAAAAAGAGGGCACGGTTGAGGCTGGGCACTGAGAGCTCTTGGAGAATGGGGAAGGGGAGCACAGTGCCTGGTGGTGTTAGGAGAATGAGAAGTGGTGTTGGAAAGGATCATGAAGGAGGGGGGAGACCGAGGAATAGAGAGCATAGTGGTAGAGAGCATATGTGCTGAGAAATGGGAAGGGCCCTTACCAGCTCAGACCCAGCTCACTTGAGTGGGGAGGAGGGGTTGGGCTCCCAACAGTATGAAGCTCAGAGCTCACATCCATTTTTCCTTCTGCCCACCCAGGATACGAGAAAGACATGGAGAAGGTGAGTTCCATTTTTATTGTTCCTTCCATTCCACTACCAGCTGCCTTATTCATCACTCTCTTACTGGGCCCACATCTTTGTACCCACTCACAGTTTTTCTGGGTGTGCCTTACCCCTTCCTGCTCCAGAGATGCGAGTGAGGTAGGGGAGGGGGCAACAGAGCACAGAGGGTGTCTACTGGCTTCCTGACCTTTCTCCCTCATTTGTCCAGATTTGATGCCCCAACACCCAAGTCATCCAACTCAGAGGACAATCTCCCTGATGATTATCCAGTGGTCAAAAACATGCTTCACAGACTGACAGGTAAGGAGAGCAGAAGGGAGGAAAGTGAATGAGTCTATTTTAGGTTTGCTCCTTTTCTCTCTCCAAAATAATCAAGTCATTTTTGATGTCTGTAAATTAGCTTCCTAGGGATGCTGTAACAAAGTGTCACACACTGAGTGGCTCAAACAACAGAGATTTATTGCCTCACTGTTCTGGAAGTAGAAGTGAAGGTGTTGGCAGTTTTTGGTTCCTTCTGTGGGCTGTGACAATCTGTCCCATGACTCTCTCCTAGTTTCTGGTACTCTCTGATGTACCTTGGCCTGTAGATGGTACTCTCCCTGTGTCTTCACATTATATTCCCTCTGGATCCAAACTTACCTTTTTTATAAGGACACCAGTCATATTGGACTAGGGCCCACCCAAATGACCTCATTTTAACTTGATTACCTCTGTAAAGACTTAATTTCCAAATGCAGTCACATTGTGAGGTAAAAGACACTAACACATCTTTTTGGGAGGAAACAGAATTCAACCCATAACATTGTCTATCCTCAATTCCTCATATTCCAGCCATTCCCCCCTCTTATCTTTTCAAACACACAACAGACCCCTGGAAGTCAGCTGCCTCTCAGGAATCTCTGCTTCCACCAGTTATCCTCACTCCTATTCAGAAGGATCACAGGACTCCTATATTTCTCTGCCCCTGGGACTCTGGACCTTCTCTGGTGCTCCTGGGCAGTTCCTTCCTCCGTCCCTATCAAGGCTGTTCTCTGGAGAAGATGCTCCACCCTCTCAGTCACCACCATTCCACCCAACCCAGGTTGCTTCTAGTACCCTGGATCCAGAAGTCTTTTCTCAAGGCACCCCATACACTCAAGGCCAATGACTCTTTCTGGTCCCTTTGGCTATCATCAAATTGTCCCACTCTTCCTATAGAAATAGGCCTATCCATTCCTACCTGTTCCTGTGAGTGGGTGGGCTGGTTTGTCAGGATACCTAGGATTGCTCCCTTTGCCCCTCCCCTCTGACACTTGGGGTTCCAGTATGTGGTATCAGTCTTTCTCTTTAGATCCACTTTCCCCATCCTGCTGACCCAGCTCCCAAGCCCCACCCCAGATACTGCAGATTGAGATATCAGTCCTCACTCCTCCCTTGTGTCAAAGCAGCCTCACTCTTCCCCCACCCCACAAATCAGGCATTCTCTCCTTTGATCTCTGCACTGTGCTCCTGTCCTGGACTAGCTAGGTCCTTCTCCAAGTCCAATTCTACAGAAATGGTGCATGAGTGCACAGACTCTGTCCTGCCTAGACCTACCTTTCATATGCCTTCACCCTCTTTGGCCCCACAGCCATCTTTCAAACTGGTGTGGGGCCTTTGAAGTGACTTCAGCTGTATGTTCTCTGTCCTATCCCACCTCTGACTCAGAAACCCTTCTCACTTCAGTCCTCTCCCTATCTTGCACTTCCCAGCCGACCTGACTCTGGACCCTGGCACAGCACACCGCTGCCTGCTCATCTCCGCTGACCGCCGCAGTGTCAGATTGGCCCCACCAGGGACACCTGAGCCCCCTGACAGCCCAGCGCGCTTCGATCAGCTCCCAGCAGTGCTGGGTGCTCAGGGCTTCGGGGCTGGCCGCCACTGCTGGGAGGTGGAGACCACGGACACGGCCTCTTGTGGAGATCCTTCTGGGGAGGATGAGGACACGGAGAGTCACTATGCCTTGGGTGCGGCCGGGGAGTCGGTGCAACGCAAGGGCCGAGTAGGATTGTGCCCCGCTGGCTCTGTGTGGGCCGTAGAGGGCCGTGGCAGCCGCTTGTGGGCACTCACAGCACCGGAGCCCACCCTGCTGGGCTACGCTGGGCCCCCACCACGGCGAATTCGGGTGGACTTGGACTGGGAGCGGGGCCGCGTGGCCTTCTACGATGGCCGCTCGCTCGACCTGCTGTTTGCCTTCCAGGCGCCTGGCCCCCTGGGGCAGCGCATCTTCCCACTGTTCTGTACTCGAGACCCACGTGCCCCACTGCGCATCGTGCCAGCGGAAGGCTGACAACCAGGCCCACAACCTCGTGCTAGCTTGGCCCCCAGTGAGGCTTCTTCTTCTGGGCTGGAAACTCCCTACTTAATGCAAGGATCATGCTCACATGCTCGCAGCCAAAGTATTGATTGATGTGCACCATCCACCCACATACACTCTTTTCTCCCAAATAGTAAGACCTCAACTGGCCTCTAGTTTCCACATCCACTCCCAAAAACGAATCCACTCCCATTTCCTCCTCTTGGGACGCTTCTCCCCCCATAGCTACCCCAGGTCTTCCCACCTATCTTACACAGCTCCTGGTCTGAGCTGGGGAACAGGCCCTGCTCCCATCGGAATTAGTCAACAGCCCATGTTTACTACACAGAGTCCCTGGCTCCTCAAATATTTACCTGTCACTCCTACCTCTGCTAGTCTCAAATGCCCAGTGCCTTCCCCTCAGCTTTAAGGCTGGGGCTTTCCTGCCCTATCCACTCTCAAGTTTCTCAAGAGAAACCAGACCCTCCTCCTGGGGGGGGGGGAGGGCGGTGCGGAGAAAGGTTTGACTTGCTAGGAAGCTTTATATTGGTGGGGTTTTTTGGGGAGGGGGAATGATTCTATGCCACCATGCTTTCCATGTTCAGTACTTTCCCATTAACCTTCTTTAAACTACCCTCTGTTCATACTCACAATAAGAAACCAATGGTGCTACCTCTCCTTTCCTCAACCTGGGAATGCTCCATACAACCTCAAGGCAGTCTTGTATACAGCTTCACATCTTTCCCCATATGTATAAATGGGCCCGTATTTAACACATTTTATGATGGGTTATTTATTTTGTGCATCTGTGGCAATAAATGAGATCTCCATGGTTGAATGGATTTGACTGATCTCTGCAAGTATGCGTGCATGACAAGAGGCCTAGAGAATGATACTCAGATCCCAGTGAGATGTGGGGAGGGCCATGGGCAATGGACATCTGGACTGGCAGACATCAAAGCCTAGGAAGGAAGGGGTGAGACTATAATGTAGGGGACATACTCCATCTCTTCCCTGCCTTTTGCTGCCTCTACCTGGGACTATGTTGGATTTGTCTCTGAAGCTGGAAAACCCAAGGCTGAGAAGATAGTTGGTCTAAGTAACCACTCTGGAAGCCAGCTTTGCCAGAAATCCTAGATCACATGAGAAGGGCGAGGAGATACAACATGACTGTTTCTTTTTCATTTTCCATTAAAGATAAGAATGGCAAATACCTTTCTCCTACCTCCCCTTAAGGGCATAAGAGAAGTGGGCAGGAGTGGAGCAGAAGAGCTGAGAGTCCCTCCATAATACCTCACATACCACAGGCAAGGACTATGAGTTTGGACTATATAAATACATTAGCAGAAGAGCTCTAAGCCAGGATCAATAAAGCATAGCTGGGGCAAGATTGCCTGGAATCTGTCTGGGACCCTGGCAGTGAAAGCTGGGGCTGTTGGAAACCCAATAGCAGAGTTTGAGACTCAAGTACAGAGTGCAGGGGGCAAAGATAACTGGATCCCAGGACAGGCAGTTTGGCAGTGAGAACTAAGGGAAGAGACTGGGACCAAGGTGCCTGGATCCCTGGAGAAAGGAGGATAGGAATGGGGGCATGGGGGCTGGGGGAACCCAGAAGCTTGGATGCTAGAATAGCAGCAAATCAGAATTCCAGCATCTTTGTCCACCCTCATCTCCTTCTTCCCTCTATCAGGCAGGGGAGAGGGGAGGGGGGACTGGAGAATGATCAAACCATGGGTTTTGTCCCCAAGTAGCCACATGAATACATTCAGGGTCAGATAGACAGAGAGACACAGGAATGGTGGGGGAGAGAGGAATTTAGTGCTGCATTGGCCCTGGAGGAGGCTGAGATGGGTCAGGAGGCTGGGGAGTGGTGGTAGGGCTCGGTCCAGGGGTTGCACGACTCCGTCCTTTGCGGTGGCCCCGTACACAGTGTGTATGACCACAGCCCTCCTCTTGCTCCTCATCACTCTCCGTAGAGCTCTCACCAAAGGCCCGAGGTTTCTCATAAATACAGCAGCCTGAATTTTGAAGGAGAAGCCCAGTTAGAAAGGAGAAAGCGTAAGATGTAGAGTCAGTTCCACTCCCATTGGATCTCAGTAAGAATTCCTACTTCCACCATAGTTTCCTACTACCTTCCAGGATCCAGTTTTCCCAGGCTCACCCCCTGGCATTCAGACACACAACTCCCTTATCCTTTTAGAGAGCCAGGAATCCAAAGCTCCACTTCTCCCACCTCTGATACTTCTTGCCTTGGCACATCTCATCTCAATTTGAACCCTTCTGTACCTCTTTCCCCTCTAACTTTAACCTCCTATCCCTTATGCCAGAGAACCACCAGGGTAGCAACAAGATTGGGGGCATCTGGGGGCTTTAGGATGGTCAATGGGCATGAAAAGGTAGAAGGTATACAGTTGGGAGCCAGGACTCCAGGGTTACTGTGGGCCAACAACCACTCACATTTTGATGAACGGCGCCCCATGTGTTCGTTGTCCACAGTGTCACTCGTCCATTCCACCTTTTTCTCTGGCTTCCGTTTCCGAAGTTTGATGGTTAGGCTCCGGTTTTCCTGGAAGATTAAAAGAGATAGACATACCTATGTAGTTCCCTCTGACTGACCATTCCCACTCCCTCCCACGGGCCTCCTCTTGGCCCTATCCCAAATCTATCAGTATCACAGGCAGCACCAGAAGAGCTGAGTGGTGGAAGATGAAATAGAACAGGTTTCTGACCTTGAGGAATCATAAAGTAGTATTTCCTGTTCCTGATAACCACTACAAAGAAGTCACAGTTCCTAACCTAGGAAAGGTCCCAGCAAATCTTCAAAGAAAAATATAGCCCTTGCTGTTTCTCCATCTTCCTTCCCAAATACGTTAGTGGTATTAATTCACATAAATTATTTTCAGTCCCAATGCCTAATATGATATATTTTTTTCCAGATCCCCTATTCTTTTTCCCATTAAGAATTCCATTCTCAACTCTCTCACCCTCAAGTCCAGCTCTACCTACCTCTTATCTACCGACTCCCTAGCATCCTGGAATCTCTGGTAACTACTATTATAAACTCCCTTAATCCAGGTGTTATTAAGCCCTATACAATCTTCTCTCTTTGAAAACAACTTAACCTGTTTTTGAAAAATGCTATCTTTTTTCTCTATTTACATCTCCTCTGATTTTTCAAAATATTATCTTTATTTCCTTTTCATTCGTTCCCTCATTCTCTCTGCTTCCTTTTACATTTATCCCTTCAACAAATATTTATTCCTAAGTATTCTTACAGTCATATTCCCCTATAGCTGGCCTCCAGCCATGTTTTCTTACACAGTCCTTCATTTCCCCCCAGTACTTCTCTTGCTCCTTAATCCCCAGGTTCCCATTTTTCAATAATTATACACACCACCACCCCAGGCATCGCCACCTATATCCTAACGTGTCGCTTGACCAGCCTTTTGCACCATCTCTACTACTCCGAATATCTGCAAGACCTTGCGATTCTCCCAACTACACACATTGAGCACCACTCCTCCCCTATCCCCAAGATCAACCCCTCCAGCAACTCTCCAAAGCTATATTCCCTCTCCCACGGTATCTCCTAGATCCCTAACCAGCACCGCCCCCCCACCCTTTCTCACGGGCTCAGTTGTCACGGTAACCGTTGTCTCAGTGACGGTCTCACTCAGCCCAGTCCCTGCCTCGGCCATGGCTAAGGCTGAGGAAAGGGAGAAGTGGAGGAAGGAGGATGAGACACCCTTCCCTTGTTCTGTGTTTCTGGGGTCTAGGAGGATCCGTATTGGATTCTGAGCAGCAGGCAGGATCCTCCACCTTCTTTCGCCCACCCCCCGCTTCCCGGGCCTCTGCTTCCCCACCCCTAGGGATAACCTGTCCAACCCCACTTCCGGCTCTCTACTTCCGGGTGTGACGCATCTTGTAGTCTCCCTCTCCCCTCTCCGGGCACTGCAGACGTCAAGCGCAAGCGTCGCCGGATTAGTTCCGTCGTAATGTAACAGCGCGCAGGCGCAGCAGGGAGGAGCTGTGTCTGGCGGAAAAGAAGTCACTGCAGTGATGAAGGAGGAGGGCGGTCAAGGGCAACGCGCCATCGCGCGTCAGGCAGGAGGGGGTGGTCCCGAAGGGAGAGCTGGGTTAGGAGCTGCGGACAGGCTGCCGCCCCCATTCCCTGGCTTGGTGGGAGTAGGGGGAAACTAAGGAGCAAAAGTAATGACCCTACAATGGTCCCTTCTGTTTCCTTACTATTTCTTTTGGGAATTACAGAAACGGGACCTAGGAGCAGCTGAAAACACTTGATTAAGAACCACCTGGGTTCAAAAAAGAATGAGTCCTAGTACCCATCCTGTGCCTGTGAGTGTTCGAGCAGTGCATTTAATCCACGTTCAGCTTGGATCTTTTCCTGTGGTCGCACCAGGCCCTTAAGATGGAGGCGCATGAAAACACTCAGCCCCTGCCTTCTAGCTCCCAGTCTAGTGGGAAAGATTGGCATGCCTATGAAGAACAAAAATATGAGACGTTGGGATATTAACTTAGATATAAATCTCATCTGTGAAATTGAATTTAGCTGCATACTGCCAACACTCTGGGGTAAACAGAGAAATGGTCATAAATTATAATGCAGGGCAATTTATGCTATGATAAAAATATGTATATTTTTCTCAATGCGCAAGAGCGGTTTAAAGGGAACCCGAAGGCAGACAGTTTTTCTCTTTTTCGTAAAAAGAGCAGCTTAGAGAGTCATAGGTGTGTGTACTTAAGGGCGTGCAGCTGGGATGTACAAAGCTGGGAGGTAAGGAGAGTGCTGACAAGGCTCAACAGGTAGGCTTGGTTATTTGGATGCCCTGTATGCTTTGTTAAGAAACTTGGACTTTAACTAGTCAATGTTATGGGCCAGAGAAAGACTTAACGAAGAGTAGAAACAATGATCAGATTTGTTTCAGGTTACAGGAATAGAGCAGGGAAGTCAATTGCCAGAACAGTTCACGTGTACAGTGCAGAAGATTGTTCTGCCCACCTCTCAAAGTGGCTTAGAGAGTCAAACAAGATAGCATATGTCAGAGAGTTTTGAATACACAAGGGTTACACAATTACAAGATAATCATTATTACTCTCACAACTTGATCACCATTTAAGCCAAGAAGCAGGAATACTGATTCCCAAACTAAAATTTGAACATGTTTATTATGCCTGGACTATATGTTTGTTTCCCTTTTAAGTTTTTGGTTCAAACTGAAAAAAGCAAGACAGAACTAGGCCTGTATAGTATAGCACATTAAAATAACAAATCTCTCTGTAGAATGTGATTCCTTGTAATTTTTACTTTTTTCTTTCTAGACATGGATCCATTACTTTTTAATCTTGAGATATTACATTTATCTCAAGAGCAATAAAAAATAATTTCCAAAATGTTCACCTGTAGTAAGTACATACTGATATCCCTTAGTGTCATATATTTTCTTGTCCAAACTTACATGCCACATAGAGCTGGTTAAATTTTCTGTTGAATCTCTCACTGTCCAAACTCCCTTTTTTTTGTTTGTTTGTTTCCCCAAACTCAAGAACCAAATAGATTCAGATAGTGAGAAAATCTTATAATTGCTTTTGTAATATTAGCCTCCTTGCTGGCTTAATTTTGGGGGTTTTATTTTTATTTTTGTTTCTCATCTGCTAATTTACATCTTTGTGTAGCTGATATATTTGTTGAAAGAACAAATATATCTCTATAAGATTTAAATTACATTTGGAACAAGACAAATTATAAGTAACATACATATATCTGGGTCTTATTGAAAAATATAGCTTTAATAAGAAAAACTCAACTTGGAATAGGAGTACCCTGGGGACAATGGTAATCCCCACATGATGATCTGCTTCTCTTCTGGAAGCAAATATTGCAGCCAGAAGATGGACAAGGATCTAGGAACCCAATATCCTTCATCTTCCAAGGAAAAGGAGAGGGAGGGGTTGTTGAGTTGCCCAGGAAACAAAACAAAACAAAACAAAAAAATCAAGAGTCTTCCTTCTCTTGGAACCTATGGAGAAAAAAAGGATTTCTTTGTTACATTGAACCAAAGTAAGAGGTTCTAGCAGTGTAAGATGAAATACTCAAATAATCAAGGAAGGATTTCTATTTATGACCTGTGGAAGACTAGTGTCCCTACACAATTCTCCAACCTCAAGCCAACTGAAAATGTTGGGATTAAAAATATATATAACAAATTATGACATTAAAGAATGCAGGGATTTCTTGGGACACAAAAAGCACTAGCCATAAAAGACTTTTTTTAAAGGATAAATTAGACCTAACAATTTTTTTTAAGAAAATAAATAGGTAAGAGTGGGGAAAATACTCTCAAAAGATATATCTTACAATAAACATTTTAAATCCATTGATGAAATGGCATGAAAGTAAAGGCAATCTTCACATTGGGTAAATCATGTAAAACCAGGAAACTAAACAGGTAAATTAAAACTGAAACCAGCTACCATCGTCCTTGTGCTGCTTTGACAGCCATATGGAAAAACCTGAGACAAACCTACAAGGTCTGATAGGAGATACTCTGCATAAATTTGGGACCCCCAAGGGGCTACCCCTCTGTGTAAAGGTAAACAAGAAAAAAAAAATCTAACTCTGCAGAAGGGGAATTTGTGTCAGTAGGCAGAGGAAGAAAAATCTCCCCTGAGATGTTCTAACATTAAACTGGCCCTTACATGAATTTGCAGCTGACATTCATGCTACCTATGTAGTCCAAAAACAACCTGAAACCAAGAATTTATTTAAAGTGATTCTGGTTTGGTAGTGCCTTATGGTACTGGAACAGGAAACACAAATGTAGAGAATACAGCATTTACCCTAGGCCTCAAAGAATTCCCATTGTTCAGCATCAGACTCACAAAACCTGTGGGTATTGGAATTGTGAGACACAATATAAATAGCCATGTTTAATATATTTAAATGTAATGCATATTTTAAAAAAAGACCAATTTAAAAAATGATGAAGGAATTAGAAATTATTATAAATGACTGAGGAAATTTAAAAAAATCAAGTAGAACTCAAAAAATTTTTACTGTAATAGTAATTGAAATAAACTGAAGACAGACTCATTGATCTGGAAGAGAGACCTGAAGAAATTACCCAGAAGCAGCACAGAGAGAAGAGATGGAAAATATGAAAGACAGGGTGAGAGAAAAGGAGGGTAGACAGCTTAACAAACAACTAAGCAGTTAGAGTTCCAGCATGTGAGAATTGAGAACATGGAAAAAACAATATTCAATGAGATAATGGCTGATAGTTTTCCAAAGCTGATGGGAAAATAAGAAGAAAAATCAAGCCTCATTGTGGAAAATCCAACAGACCCCCCCCCCATTTTTTTTAAAAAGCCATATCTTGATATATTGTAGTAAAACTGAAGAACGCCAAAGACAAAGAGTTCTTAAAGCCATTTAGAGAGCCTGTGTTCCTTAAATCATGCACGACTAATTCTCACTAAAGTACAACTTCCTTGAGTATGGTGGAAGATTCCAATATAACACACTGACCACTAAGCAATACTTGTCTTCTGTATTTTTCATTTCCTTTTACGTATGTTAAAATGTTTAGTTCACTGGTATTAAAAGGATAAGAAAAATGTAATTTTAAAAAATAAAAACGACCACAAATCTCCCTATTATCAGAACTGTATAAAACATGAACGGAACCAAAAGAAACAATTGTTTATTCAGTACAAAAAAGTAAATCGCTATATTTGTTTAGTTAACAAAATAAGAATGGGCAGAGGCAAGGGAAAGGATACGCACTTGCAGTTGGCACAGGTGTAGAAGACAGTCTGCCCTTCATCGGCTGAGCGCATCTGTCTGGTGTGGTATGCCATGCCCTCATGACCACAGCGAGAGCAGCGCCTGTCAACCTGGTGGGTTACGGAGTTCTAGTCATATACCCCTACTTATTATAGGAAGCAGATAACACATTCCCAGGACACTGCTGCTCTAAAGGCCCCTCTACTTTCTTGGAATTAGGTACAAAACTCTCCAGATCTCCGTTTCTTTCCCACCTTCCCTGTGGGGCCGGTCCTTGATGTCATTAACTTACCACGGGTCCCTGGAATTCAGGTCCTTCCTCCATCAAAATAGGTATGGTTGTCCCCAGTTTGTGGAACGTGACTGAGGTTTTCACAACCTTTTCTTCGAAGTCTGCACAGGCAGGAAGAACTGGTTGTACAAATACGCGGAGGGAGCTAACGGCTCAACCGCCTCTCAATTAGGCCAGGTGCAGGTGGCCCTACATCCTTCCCTTCAGGTTTCGACCCAACGGAAAGTATAAGTGCCTAATCTCCTGCTTTAGTGTCCCATTCCAATCGAACCGATCTGGAGGTCCTTAAGCCTCCGACCCTTCCTCGCTGGGCCCTCAGGCGGGGCCGCTGCCTAGGAGCCCCTCACCTCGCACGTTGATGGAGAAGCCACAGCGAGTACAGGTGACTGTATCCTGAGTCCCTGGCAGAGGCAGGACTGAGCCGCAATCAGGACAGAAATCCAGATCCGACTGGAAGCTGGAGCAAGTGCAGGCGAGGTCCATGATGGGCAGATGTCAAGACCTGGGAACAGAATGAGAAGGATATTAAAAGAGAGTGAAGTAAGTAGACCCCTCCCCACTCAGGGGTCATTCCCATTCTGTTCCTGGACATAAATGTAACTCGAACCTCCCTCCCACGCACGTCTCGTGCCTCTGCGACCACGGAGCCCCGGAGTCCGGAATTCCCAGCCCGCTTTGGGTACCGCCAGACTTGGGGGCTTTCCTGGGGCAGGCGAAAGGAGCCAGCCAAATCCGCGGGCTAGAGCGCCCTCTCTGTGTGGGCAGCCGGGCAGGGAGCAAGAGGCCGGCTTGAGCGTCAAAGCGTTCCGGCTCACGATTGGCTGTGACGTCGTAAGTAAGCGCAAACGTGGTTCCGAGAACCTTGGAGAGGGTGTGGATCCTCTGTGAAGGGAGATGTTTCTGAGTGTATGAGTGTACATCTTCACCTTGGTTCTCCAACTTCGGATAAGAGAACGGGTAATTGATCGACCTGCCGCTACTTTTCCTCTTGGACCCCAAACATGGGATGTTTCTTTTCTTCGTCTCGCATCTTACAGGGACTCAGTGCGGGGGGAGAGAAGTGTCCCCCCGAAAATCGTACTAATCTTATCGAATATTAATTTCTTAGAAACGGAGAACTACAACTCCCGCCATTGTTCAGTCTGTATTTCCCTTTTGGGACTGCGCGGTGGTTAAAAAAAAGAAAGCTAAACATTCGGGGAATTAGAGTTTTAGCGCTCCTGGGGCCTCGCGGGACAAATAAGGACTTTCTGAAGAGTCCAACCTAGCTCTCGTGCTTTGGACGGTGTTCCGGGCCTCTGTAAGGGGGTGATTCGGCTTTTTAAAGGGTAAGACGTGGGGAGAGTGAAAGCAGAGGAGGAATGCTGACTCCCTGGGAATAAAAGGAAGCAGTAATGATATGAGATATGGCTCAGGACTTTGTAGGTGGCACAACAGAAGAGGTTGGACCAGTCCTCAGACACTAACATTAGTCAAGGGATTATCCTGGGTTAGCATTTCACTAAGACTTCAGCTAAGTTTGACTCTCATTTACCTGTTCCTTTGACTCCCGTCCAACTGTCAAGCATCATCAATATCACCCATTAGGTGGACAGTTAACATTCCCAAATATTTTATAAAACATGAGGACAAAAGCTTTAGAAAATATTGCTACTTTCAGTCATCTGTAAGTACAATCTAAACTAGAAATTTGCCCTGAAGGTACAGCTTCTGGATGGGTTTCTAGTTCCCTCTCAGCCCTTCCATCCCCACCCAGCCAGGTAGCTGTGTTAAGCTCCTACATGTAAATGTTCTGGAGCCATCGCTATTTTCTTCTCTGAAAGAGACAAGCTGTGGTCTCTACCTAAAAAGCTCTGGTCTTCCTTTCTCTGCAATAATGAAAAGACACGTAATAGTGAAGAAGTTAAAACTCTTGTAACTGAATGCAAGTCCAGCTGCCAGCCGCTTCAAAAGCCAGTACTCAAGAGGAAGGTGCTGATGTAAAGGAAAATGGTTTTATTCAGGTGCAGTCAACGTGGAAGATGGACTCTCATCTCAAAGCCCATCTTAACATCTCAGTGCAGGCAGGGATTTTTATGAAGAGAGAGAGGGACAAGCAGAACAGAGAGATCAGGGGGAGAGGCTGTGGACTTACAGGCAGTGTCCTTGCTGGTCCGGATATGGGTCTTTAATGTAAACATCCTGGAAGCTGGTCAGTGCCAGCCACATTTCTGCAGCTGGGTGATCTGTGTCAACTGAAGTCAGATCAAAGTCATTTCTTGTACAAGCAGGAACTGGAACTGCTGGCACTTGCAATATACTTACAAAGAAACTGTCAGTATGTAAGTTCTTTTTATCAGTTTGTTAGAACGTCTTTATTTCATGGGAAGTGAGAGTAGTATCAAGTTCTTATTTCCCATTACACTCAGAGCAAGCTACCAGAGAGTGACAAGCCCCATAATTTCATTTACCTGGTTGTCATGTTGTTTGTCTTACAAAGGGAAGTCTGTTGCTGAGCCCATAATGGGAGGCAATTTTTATTCTCACTTCTCTGTGTGTCTCTCTGCTTTGAAAATGGAAATGGAAATTTAGTGCTTTTCCCTCACCAACCTTCCCTTTTCATTAAAGGTCAACTGTGAGTTGAATACTGTCCTAATGTAGTAAAGGAACACAAATGTTACAAGTCATGGGCCTTTTCCATTGAAAGCTCACAATAGGTTTAGTTAGTATTTATTAAGTAATTGTGCCAGTCTTTGAGTTGAAGCTGGGGCTGCAGAGTTGAAAACTATGTTCTCTGACCTTAAAAAGTACAAATGACTAATCAGAATACAATGAAAGTATATTAGTAGGACATAATGTGAGACCATAGGACAGGCATATAAAACAAATATACGTGTATACTTCAAGAAAGACTGGTAAATGTTTTCATAAAAAATAGGTACAATGAGGATCATAAGAGAAAGATGCTCAGATATTATGTGACAAGGATAATCACCAGTCAACAAATCATTAATTATGAGAGCTTGGGATCACAGACTAATGTTAAGTACTGTGCTAGATGCTGTGTACTGAGAAATAAAAGGAAGATGGTCATTTTTTGAATCTCAAAATAGATATACATAGTAAAGGAAATAAGAATGCACCTAAGAGGTCAATGAGTTCCAATATTTGATATCAGATTCTTTCTGATAATATGGAAACATCATTGTAGTTGTAGATATAAATTATAATTCCCACACTTTATGAGTCTGAATTTCAGTATCAGAATTTTAAAAGTGACATGAATACAGAAATCACAATGTAAATCATGATTTATTTTCAAATGAATTATATAATTAAAAATGTTAAGTTCAAAGGAAGGCAAAATCACTGTTATACGAAAAGACTTTATAGAGAGGAGCTTGACCTCTGGGGGATAGACAGCTGGCATTTATTGAGAAAATACCATATATCATGCGTTATGCTAAGTTCTTGAATCAATTCGCATTTGTTCTTTATTGTCCCAAGAGGCAAATTTTTATCTTATATCTCCATTTTATAGATGTGGAAACTGATGTAAAGAGATTAAGTTGCTTGCTCTGTGTCACACACCTAGGAAGTGGTGGAATTAGGATTCAGGCATAGCCCTGTCAGGCTTCAAAGCTCATGCTCTTATCCATAAATAGTATTTTTTAAAAATGCATACAGGTGGAATGACAGGCATCTATGATGGGTTATACATGACCTCACAGTAAACAGATTAGGCCAGGGATAGCATAAAAAGTTGGTAGTCTTGGCTTGTGTTGCCAGCAGCTTGTCCTATAAATAGATCATCCAGAATAAGCACAAATTCTCCTCAGAAGGGGTTCTACAGGGAATGGTGCCATAATGGATTTAAGGTGAAGGATAAATGGCAGTATAAGGAAGAACAGAATTTCAGAGCAAAGACTAGGGGGCAGAGATACTGTATGTGCTAATAGTGGCAGAAAGGGCCCAGACCAAGAAACCACAGAAACTGAATGAACTGGTAACAGTCAGCCTAGGGTTATCTCAAAAGAGAGTGGAGGGTGGGGAACTGAGCGATCTGGCATAGATGTGTTTGGGCAGTGCTTCACCAAGGAACCTGTCTCTCCCCTCCCCCAACCCTGATACAAGATTCAGAATGGTTTGCATTTGAATCTACAAGACAAATATGCTTTTAATTTATATGAAAGTATGATATGCTCTTATTTAAAAAGCATTCATTTTATTATTGTCCACCATAGGAATACAGAGGTTTCTTTGGGGAAATGGTCCTGCTGTAGTCATGCCTGTTATCAGGATTTCTCTTTCTAAGTGGAAATACCCTTGGCCAAGACAATTGGGTTTTTTGGTTCAGTCAGTATGTGAGATATGCTCTGACATCTCCCACATTTCAATCTATCTTTGCTTTTTTATCTTTCAGATTGGCTTAGGTTAAAGCATCTAGAGACCACAGGATTGCTTCAGGTCAGCAGAACCCACTGGAGAAAAAAATATTGGTAAATTATCTTCACATCATACAGTGTGAAACTACTGAGAGGAAGAACCTTAAGTTTAAAGTCTTTCTGCTAAAGTGACACTCTTGAGTAGGGTGACTACGCTGACAAATGTTTTCTAGCTATATCCATGCTTGCAAAACAAAGTATTATTTTGAAAACTTTTAACACTATGTTAAAAGAAAAAAAGCCCTAAAAAAACTAGTTATTGATTTTGGTAGTAGTTAGTTCAACTTTTAGAGCTCACAGGCTCCACCTAGGAATGATGGGAGTAAAATCATGGTTCTTACCCCAAAGTAAATGAAAGACAATTCATCTTTTCTTGGTGTCAGTAGTCAGGGTAAGCTCCTATTTAAATGTGTTCAATGTAAAAAAGACGGTCACACTCTAACATTCTGTCCCTCCCTCTGATAGAATCTAGGTGGTGTACATGCAGAAGCAGCAAGATAGCTGATAACTCAAAAAAATCAAGAAGAGTATGAAGCACTCTATAGGGAGCAAGATCTTTCCCTTGACTACTGGCTTGCCCAAAAAGGGTGTTATTATAATAAAATATTGGTGGAAATGATGAAGAACAAGAGAGGCAGTGAAATCAAGAAGAAATTGGAGGGGAAAACAACCCAAAGCACAGAGATTAAAAAACGATACTATTTGGTACCTGAGAGAGAGATGAAACAGAGAGAGGCACATATATCAAGCAGAACAGATCAAAGAATTTAAGAGGGAAGCATTTAGACAATTAAGATCCTCTAGTAAAACAACATTCTCAAAAATTTTGCCAAAATAGCATGGTATCCAGTATGCACAGAGAAGAAAACAGGTAAAAGAGAGGGAACAGATACAAATTAAAGATCACCAGGAACGCATGCTTTGAGGGAAAAAACTTACAAAGACTCAAGGAAGAATTCTTGAGAAAAAGCCAGAACCACCCACTTACAGTGGCGAAGCATGGGAGAATAAAGAAATAAAAGAGTTTGAAAGCATTATTGCATATCAAGTTTTCCAGCCAGTCAGATTAAAGTGAATATTCTTATGGAAACGTCTCAGAATACAGAAGAAAATACAATTATAAAACCTTATCAAAAAAAATTCTTAACTGTGCCACCCTTTTTTGAGAATGCAAAAAAAAATAAAAGATTACTAGTAAAGTTTCAGAGCTTTTCTGATAAATTGTCTCTTAAATGAATCTTTTTTTAATGTTAATTCTCGTCTGTCCCCAGAGTTCAGTGAATAGTCCCATTTGTATCAGATACAGAAATACCAAAAACCTCTGGCCTTGGAAACCAGCTTAGCTATTTTTAGTTAAAGTTGCTTTTATTCTCTTTGATGTTCAGTTTCCTCACCTGTAAAGTGGGATTAATAATATTTTACAGCATTTGTGGGTGAATTAGGATTTCTTTGAAGCATTAGCATATAGTAGATGTTTCATAAAATGTTAGTTTCCCACTTGGGAAGACCTGGCTTGGGCAGTGATAGTGAATAAGGAATTGTTCTAATTAGCATCTCCCATTTTCCCTGCTCCCAACCCTGGAAGGTTATCTTGATTAGATTGCTACAGGTAAGTATATGGTCTTTCATTTCTCATCCATACCTTTATCAGGGAACGGTTAACCATTCCCTAAAAAGTCTAACTTGCACTGTGCAATTTATATGAGAAACCTAATTTTGAGACCCTTCTATGTGCCAGGCATTGTTAGTTACTCGGAGTGAATAAAGGGAAGTTCTGGCCCCCTAATAGGTTGCACCCGAAGGCATAGATCACTCTCTAAATAGATAATAAGATATGGTAAGGGTTATGGTAGAGGTATGGAGAGGAGCTGTACAGAAGAGGGTTACCTAACCTGGACTGGGTGAGTAGGATGAGGAGGAGGGATGTCAGAGAAGGGAATGTGGTAGTCCCAGTTTTCTTCCAGCCCCACATACTGTCATATTCTAACACCCACTTAAGTGAGACCTTTCCATTGTTTGAACCTACCCAGAGCTAACCAAACTTACGTTCTCTCAAACAGATTTATCTATACCCTGATAAATCTGAAAACAAATTTATGAATTTAATGAGAATTTTAAACAGAATGAAATTTGTTTTCCATTCAGTTCATTTTCTTTTCAAATAACCAGGAAGTTGCAAAAGGAGAGGTTAAAAGTTGGTTAGTAGAGAATCAGAGATGAAAATTGGATGCCCTAAGGAATATTTATACTTAATTTGTGATATTCCTGATGCCCACCCTTCTGTACTAGCAGAACACCCTTCACCAGAATGTTGCTAGATCAGCACTGTCTGATATAACTTTATGCAGTTATATAACTGTTATATTTTTCCTTTTCAATATGATAGCCACTTTACATACGTGGCTATTGAGCATTTGAGATGTAGGCAATGCAGCTTTGGAACTGAAATTTTTATTTTAATTTGAATTAATTTTAAATTGCCACATGTTGCAAGCATAATTCCTGTGTTCTAGACTTCAGTCCCACAATCAGCTTTCTGTCTTTGACAATATTTGCAAATATTTGATAATATTTGAGATCACTGCTCATTTCACATTAGTATCAGTTTCATTTCTGTATTTGAGAGGCTCCCTAATCCCTTAAAGAAATTCAAAAAGCACTGTAGATGACTTCTGTGTGGAAATGAGATGGCTGAAGTTGCTTAAGTTAGGTTCAGGAACTGGGACCTTTTTTGCACATTCTAGAATTTGACCAGGACACATACCAAAATCTCATTACTACCCACCTGATTTGTCACATGCACATTTTTTTTGCCCCTGTATGTTCCCTGGTCTTCATCACCATGTTTCAGCTTTAGGTTCTAGACATTTCAAAGAGATGGATCATCAGAGTGCAAGAGTTGAAGACTTAGAAATTCAAATCAACAGGGTAATAGCTCTTTGAGTTGAGTGGACTGAAAAGTAATGAAACAGAACCACTCTGGATTCTATTGCTCAGGGTTCTATTGCCCACTGCCAATAAGAACCATGACTCCCAATGCCAGAGTCTTATGAAAGGAAAGGAACTATTCAAAAGTTATACACACTTAGAATAATGGCAGAATTCTGCCAGTAAATGCTGTTAAAAGGGAAGCCTTTTAGAAACAACAACAAAAAAACCACCCACAAACACAGTCTTGCCTCCTTTTGCCAAACCAGGCCAGTTAGAAGTACTGTCTTTTGGAAAAAGAAATATAAGTCTGTAGCTTAGCTGGGCAGATTCCGGCTTCTTCCAGTCAACTGTGCTTGGCTAGGCTCTCTTAATCCAAAACGGCATCCTCATGGTGGGCTGGGGGGGTCCTTCTGCATCCGTTCAAACCGCGTGGCCAAGACCCTGTATAGCTGCTACATGGTGAAGAGGCTTCTCTTGCCCAAGCCACATGGTCGAGCATGCAAGGGAGAGAGCCTTTCATGGCTCTCCCAGTCTCCTTGCCGCATGGTCCAGGGCTCTAGCATGACTGAAGCTCACTTGGGTTTAAGTCCCAGCACGGATCTTCCTCCGTAACCCTATTTCTGACTCCTCCAACAAAGGGTTACACCTACCTGTAGTCTGGTCTCTTTCACCTTTCTTGGCTGCCATTGTTAGTCTGGGCACATGTGGCCCTGTGACAGAAATCACCTCCAAGCCACTGGCACAGGCGCAGCAACCAGAGCAACCTGGGACTGCCTTACAGCTGTATCAGGGTTAGCATCACGCTCATCTCCCTGGCTCTGAGGTTGTGGCACACTTAGCGTTTAGCATTACTAAAACACTGGCCAAGTTCTTTAGATATGCAAAGTAACTCTCGAATAGTCCTGCTCTTCCATTCCCCCAGCCAGATTGGTGGGGGAACTTCCCCATTTGGGGGGACCTTGATATTCTCTGTTACAGTAACAATGCATTACTGTTAGTAATTGCTTACAATGAAGATTTTCGGTGCTGTACCTATGAATTGGTGAGTTCAGCTGCCCTCTCTTCCAACTCCAAATCTAGCATAAAAGCAACTGGTGATTTAATACCTCAGGGCTCACAATAAAAGTCTGGGTTCAGTTTGGCCAAACTGGAACCCATATCTCCACCTCAGAAACTATGTACCTTTTCATTTCCTTGTTCTATATGTGAATGTTACTGTTACCAGAGTGGGTCTGCCTGTGGTGTGTGGGCTGTTGACTTCATGTAGGGAAGATTTCACAAGAGTCCAGGTGATTTTGGGGAGTATGTTAATAAAGCTGGGGACAGTGAAACAAGGGAAGGACTTAGGGTAGAAGTAGTAACAGGAGAGAGCCTAGGCAGTGCTGTTTTAGCTCCTTAGAAACGTTATAGGAAAGGAGTGAGCCAAGGTTGGGCTGCTGTTAGCTCACTGGGAAGTGAAGATCACGGTGAGAGGAGTAGGCCAAGGCGGGGTTGCTTTTATCCCACTGGGAAGTCAGAGAAAAAAGATGCCTTGGAGACAGGATCACGGGGTAAGCCTGGGTCGAGCTGCCATGGTCCACTGCTCCCTTGGCTGCAAGTCTCTTGGGGACCCTTATGGTCTAGGGGGAAGTAAAAAGTTCACGCCCCGAAGTGGCATACTTTAGAGCAGAGCTAGCTGCACTGCATCTTTGTCTTGAGGGCTTTTATCTTAGTCACTGCCCACCCTTGCTCCTGGGGCAAGACTCTAGGAGGGGGGCATTAAGTTGAATATTTATCAGCTTTCTAGGTGCATTTTTCCTATATGGATGGGTCAAAATGAACATATAGGGGGATTTGGGGTTATTCTTTGGTCTGCTATATTGTTTTATCTTGGGTCCTTCTGGCTTTTAACAGGGTTTTTGTTATTTCCCTGACTTTATCTGTCCTTGGGTTTAGCTAGCACAAATGGTATTGTGTCTCTTTTCTCTATTTCCCAAACCAGGGTGATGTGTAGTCTCTGGTTAGAGAGGAGAGATATAAACCATTTACTTTCAAGTGTCCTTTTTTAGGAGATAAGGTCTTGCAATTCACTAGCTGGCAGTAAGGTGCTCAAACTGTTTGGCCTTGTTTAATTTTCTTGTCTCAGTTTCCCCATTCCACTTGCCCGGGCATTTTCACTGCCTTTTCACAATGCCATAATAATGTCACACTTAATGCCTCTCTTTCGTCCTATGTATTTTTTCTTTTCATTGTGAAATGTAACATACAGATGAAAATGTATACGTGCATTTGGAAGAACAGTAAAAGATATCCAGGCTTCCACTGCTCAGGCTGCGAAGTGGAACATCACCACACTCCACGAGCCCTGTGCTTGCCCCATTCACACCCCTCTCCTCAGCCCTAGAGGCAATCACTATCCTGAATTTTGTAGTAACTGTCACCTTTTAATAGTTTTTACCATTTATGCATGTACAGTTGCTCTTACACAATGCAGGGATTAGGGGCACCAACACCCCCCCCCCGCCCCGAGCTATCAAATCTGCATGTACATTTTTTTAAACCTTTTTTAAAAAGGATTTTATTATTTTTAGAGAGAGGGGAAGGGAAGGAGAAAGAAACACTGATGTGAGAGAGAAACATTGATTGGTTGCCTCTCCTATGTACCCTGACTGGGGACTGTACCTGCAAACCAGGCATGTGCCTGACCAGGAATCAAACCAGAGACCTTTCCATTTGCAGGACAATGCCCAGTCAACTGAGGCACAATGGTTAGGCGCCATGTATAACTTTTGATTCCCCAAAAACTTAACTACAAATAGTGTTCTGTTGACCTTACCAATAGCATAAACAGTTGAATAATACATATTTTGTATATGTATTATATATTGTATTCATACAATAAAGTAAGCTAAAGATAAGAAAATGTTATTAAAATCATAAGGAAAATACATTCATAGTACTCTACGTATTTATTGAAAAAAAAATTCACGTATAAGATGACTCATACAATTCAAAATGATGTTGTTCATGGGTCAGTTGTATTCCTGACATAATTGCTAATAGTTGCCTGTTTATAGCCTTCTTGTAAATGGAAATATATTGTATCTGATTTACTTCCTTTGTTCATTAACATTTTTTAGTTCATTCATGTTAATATGTGGCACTGTAGTTCATTTTTTTTCTTCTCAATCTTCCAGTGTGTTGGAGTGCTCCAGAGCTAAATCTTAGACCTCTTCCATTCACTAACTTTCTCATTAATCTCACTGGGT